ATCTTACGGCTGACGCTGCAGGTAGAGATATAGTTCTTGAATACAAGTAATCTAAGCTGCAAAGGAAAAGCGATCTCCATCCTCTTTACATGGCACTTCAGTATCCTCTGCTTTTCCCATACGAAGAATATGGGTACGACGAGCGGATTCCTTATCAAGTTACCATGCAGTGTAAAATTAAAAGAGAGTGTATGACGAAGAGAGAGTACTATGCTCACCAGATCCAGACCAGGCCATCTGAGGGTATGACTATTATCAAGTCTGGGAAATTGCTGCATCATTACATTGTTGACATTTACACTGCGACCGAGCAGGAGAGATTGAGATTTATCAGACTTAACAGAAAATATTACGCGCAGAGCTGTATACTAACGCATGTGATGCATTAGAGAGTGGAGATACAACGCAAGCAAACTTGGAACAAAAGTCATCTTACCATCTTCTTTCACTGGAAGCCCCCTCTATATGTCTGAGAAATACCAAGATGCAATGGTATTTGTCGTTGGTATGCTAACCCTAATTTTTTTATTACATTCACAGCAAACCCTAATTGGGTTGAAGTTAGAGAACATTGAGCAGTTTATGGTGGTGGTTCACCAAACGATAGACCTGACCTGGAAAGCAGAGTTTTTAAACTCCAATTAGAAGAGCTCATGTCAGACTTCAAGAAAGGCGTCTTCTTTCCCAAACCCGCGGCCAGTAAGTTCAGACTTCTAAATTAATCGAACATCCTATGCAACTCCCATTAACTAAATAAATTAAAAACAAAACATAAACACTTCTCCACCCTAACGTATACTCTTATTGTGTATTGTAGTTGTCGATACCGTTGAATTCCAGAAGCGGGGACTCCCCCATGCACATATTCTCCTTTGGTTTGAAGGGTTCAAAGGGGAAGCAACTGGTGAAGTTATTGACAAATACATATCAGCAGAACTACCTGACAAGGAAACTGACCTGGAGGGTTTCGAGCCAGTTAAGAACCACATGATACACGGGCCTTGTGGGAGACAAAAACCGCTATCACCGTGTATGGAGAAAGGAGAATGCACGAAGAAGTACCCCAAACCGTTTTCCAACAATACAAAGATCGACAAAATGGTTTTGTTGTCTATAAAAGGCGTGGCAATGGTGGAGTTTCTGTTACAAAAGGCAAAACAGAGTTAGATAATCGCTTTGTTGTTCCTAACCTCTCTCTCCTCAGAAAATACAAGGCCCACATCAACATTGAATGGTGCTGCAAGACAAATACTATCAAATATCTTTTCAAATACATAACAAAAGGGGTAGCTCGCGCATTGGCATTATTTGAGGAATCTGGTAAGAAAGACCCTGCCGCTATAGAGAAAAAGAAGAAAAAACTTGAACTTGATGAGATTGATCGGTATCTGGAATGCCGGTACATCTCAGCATGTGAAGCCTCTTGGAGATTGTTTTCTTTCCACATTCATCACAACCAACCCACAGTTATGAAACTAACATTGCATCTTCCAGGCCAGCATAGGCTACTCTATGATCCCGATAGGAGTTTGGAAGACGTATTGTCAGAGGAAGATGTTGAGAAAACCATGTTGACAGCATACTTTTTTGTCAACCAGACGTACGAAGAGGCTAGAGAGCTAACCTACATTCAGTTCCCATCACGGTTTGTGTATCACAGTGACATTAAGACGTGGACTCCACGTAAGCAGGGAACAACTATTGGGAGGCTCATTTACGTGCATCCAACTGCGGGGGCTAAGTACTATCTGAGAATTCTGCTCAACGTCGTCAAAGGTGCCTTTGGATATGAGGACCTCCGCACTGTTGGAGGTACGATATTTGAAGAGTACTGCGATGCTTGCTATGCCCGTGGGTTGCTCGACGATGATAAGGAATGGCATGATGCAATTATTGAGCCGTCACACTGGGCTACAGGACGCCAACTCCGGAGCTTATTTGTCCTCATTTTACTCTACTGTGAAGTTGCTAACCCCCTGAAAATTTGGAATCATACATGGAAAATTCTGTCCGAGGATATTCTATATATGAAACAAAGGGAATTTAACTTTCCAGGTTTGATTCTCCAGGACCAGGAGCTACAAGAATATACTTTGATCGAAATCGAGCGGCTCTTAAAAGAGAATGACAACTCATTAGAAGATTTTGGGGGAATGCCAAAGCAAAACCCAAGTGTTTTAAAGGAAATCTCTAATACTATCTTGCGTGAAGAGTTGAACTATGACACCGAGAAAGAGGCAATTGAACATGAAACACTGTTTCATACCATGAATGAAGATCAGAAAAGCATTTACAGAGATGTTCTTGACTCCGTAGAGAAGTGGTCGGTGGTTTTTTGTGTATGGAGCAAGAGGGACCGGGAAGACTTTCTTATACAAAACTATTATAGCGAAGCTTAGATCTGTTGGTAAGGTCGTCATCCATGTGGCATCCGCAGGCATTGCAGCTATGCTACTCCCAGGTGGTCGAACGGCTCACTCCCATTTCAAACTCCCTCTTGAATTAACGGATCAGACAGTGTGTGAGATTACAGCTGCGTCTATGTTAGGAAGTCTTATTTCAAAGACAGACCTTATCATATGGGATGAGGCCCCCATGGTTCACCGTCAGGCTTTTGAGACTCTAGACCGGACACTTAGAGACTTACAATCTCTCCAAGATCCATCAGCAGCTGACAAACCGTTTGGAGGGAAGACCGTGGTTTTAGGAGGAGATTTCAGGAAAATTTTACCTATTGTTCCACTTGGGTCAAGACAGGACACGGTAAAGGCATCAATCAGCAAATCATATCTTTGGCCGTTTGCTGAGGTTCATACTTTGACAACTAACATGAGATTGAGACAAGCAGACAAGGAATTTTCTCAATGGATTCTTAGCGTTGGAAATGGTACTGCACCAACGGTGGAGCAACCCGAAATAACTCATGAGGATGGAGAGCAGGTTCTAATAGGCGATGAATTCATGATACATAGATCTGCCACTCCATACCAGTCCATATCAGAAGCTGCTTACCCTGGTTTTGTAAGAAATCACTTGAACCGCACATACTTAATAGAGCGAGCTATCTTGGCTCCAACAAATGCCAGTGCACAAGAAATAAACTCATACCTTCTATCCAAAGTCCCTTCTGTAGAAAAGGAATTCCTGAGCTCAGACAGTGTAGCTTTTGAGAGCACACTAGAAGATGATTGGACCACTACCTACACAGAGGAGTACTTAAACTCGCTGGAGTTTCCAGGTTTACCTCCCCATAAACTGTGTCTGAAGGTCGGGTCTCCAGTAATGATGCTTCGGAATTTAAGCCAGAAAAATGGGTTGTGCAATGGGACACGGATGATGATTTCACGCCTCGGCCACAGAGTGTTGCAGGCTGAGATTCTGACAGGAACACATGTCGGTGATAGTGTATTGACTCCAGATACAACTTACACCAAACGACACTATCCATCCTTTCACATTTCAAAGAAGACAATACCCATTAAAACTGTGTTACGCGATGACTATAAATAAGAGTCAGGGTCAGAGTCTTAAGCAGGTAGCTCTGTATCTCCCAAGACCAGTTTTCAGCCACGCTCAACTATATGTTGCTATATCGCGCGTCACATCACCAGAAGGTCTCAAAATATTGGACAATACAGAAGGTTCAACAAGAAATGGTGTGGTCACCAATATTGTTTACAAAGAAATTTTTGGTGGTCTCAGAACACGTAAGTGTTACAGTGCTCTACTCTACTAATACAATTCTGATACAAATGTTCAATAAAGTCATCCATGAATCGAATATCTTCATTGCAGGTGCATCTGCAAATCAGTAAGCAGTGATCGATGCTCCAGCGAGTAGCAGCAATTTCAGCAAACCGTTGTAGTGACAGTAGAGGTAATATTCTGTTGGTGACTTACTTCCCCCTAATATCAGCAATGTCACATAAAACTTATTTTCCAAAAACACAGAGCTTCCTAAAATTCGCTATGTTCATTTCAGGTCCGAACACAAATCCGCTTTGCTGGCTGACCATTGTTGTTACAAAGGTGATGCCAGTCTGATAGCTGATGCTTCCCATAAATTTGTTATTTTTCATTTGCAGTCTACACTTTCGTTACTATACAATGTCAAACATTTTGGAATTTTTAAGAACAAATCTTTCGTAAATTATGTTTAAGCTATACTAAATTACGTTGACTCCTTGACATCCACGCAAGCGAACACTATTGTATTATGTAATCTGACTTCACTATAGAATACGTGGCAGTATGGGAAATTTAATTAATGTGGAGGAGGCGAGAGTCATATGATACACTAATCTCACAGTACAAATATGTGAAAAATATCCTCCGCAATGGCAGCGTTTAGCAGAACATGCATGTCTGCGAAGGATGTTATCATCATAGCGGACGACCATGAATTATGAAATGAATAATGATTTGTTTTAACAAATCTACTATCTTCGAACAACTTCTGGCTGAGGTGGTCGAATTTTTGGGAATTGATTAGAAAAATAAGTGTTTAAAAAACAAAAAAAATAAATGATCCTCTTAGCTAAGTACCAAAACTAATACATATATATAGAGCTCATCAACAACGAAAAATGAAGGTAAGTTTCTTTCATTATGTACATTCATATACCACTCTCTCATCTGTTGATCATCATATAATAGTATATTCATAAAGGTATTCAGTATCCTCTTTCATTCTCTAACTTGAAAACACAAAAAAATGATAACACAAATAACATAACATGAATAAATGGTGAAAAAACGTTTCAAGTTCATTCAGATAAGACACAAAAAACAAAACTTAACAAATAGAACCAACAATAGAGAAATAAATACAATCCCAACTTTCTTCGCTTCATTTATCCAGATAAGCACTAATGTAATCAAGACAAAGAGTTACAAAGTCGGATTCAAAAAGTCCCCAACCAGATGCTATGACTCTATAAAACGATCAACATGTTAGCCAAAATAACCAAACCAAAAAAACAATAACAAAAAAAAACAAAATGGGGACTCAAGCGCCCCCTTCACTTCTCAAAGCCCTCCCCCAAAATCTCCTTAGCGATATCCTTGCTCGGGTTGCTGCATCTTCAGTTCGAGATCTAGCCCCTTGTTTATTGGTCGCTCCAATAATCTCCTCAGCGGTCCATGATGATCATGTCATCAAGAACCTGAACCTACGCAGGCAAGCCATGAACTCTTTGGTGACGTTCTATCATTTCCAAAAAGTGATGAAGAAATCGATCAAAAGTGATCATCCTGCTGCACATTACGTGGAAGGAATCAAGCAATTCTTCATCTACGACAACAGAAGCAAAGGGTTACTCCACCTAAAGAAGGCTTCTGAAGGGTCCTATGACAATGATACCTATCTCTATGGTATCCTAAAGTTGTGCAAGAGCTGGACTAACCAAGCCTGGATCCAAGTCAAAAAATCACTGAGATTTGTTTTTGTCATTAAGAAGCCAGAGTACACAGCTTCTTTGAGGAACAACCAACCTCCACTGAGTTGTCACAATAAACGACAAGGACAACATTTGTCCAAGCTGCTTCCACTACAAGATGATGCGCAAGTTCATCGGATTTGTGAGTCAATAAATCTGAAGACCATAAAAAGATAAAGATCAGACCAGTTTGCATTTCATTTCCAGCTTTTGTTTTCATTCCGTATGCTTATGTTTTTCTTTTTTGAAATAAAACTTTTTCCCCTATATAAAACCACAACTACTAATATAATGCAAACCATAACAATTTCTTATTAGCTAAAACCATGTTCAACCAAAAAATTTAGCAAGAAATTAAACCCATACACACATACAAGAAACCTTATTCAAGTCACAAAATTGCTACATAGCCGACATCACGAACCTTCTAAAATCAACATTAGACGTCTGAGTACTCCGTCATAATATCCTCCTCCAGATTAACAAGGCAGAACTACAACAAAAGTACGGGGAAAAACATACCGGCCACCGGAAGGTTACTGTGATCCAAAACAACTCGCCGAAAATAATTCACGGAAACCTACCAACGTCGGAGATGCCCTAAAATTAAGACCAAACATAATCCGACGCCGATCTCGAATTGGTTCAAAACAACCACGCCGTCATTGAGGCCTTATTCTAATAATGGAACACAAAGTTACACTCCAAAAGTTTGGGCTCAAATCAAACTAAAAATAATCCAAAATGCCCAACATCTATATGAAACGCTGCCGTTTGATTGACGATAATAAAGAGGGAAAAAAAATTTCGACCATACTCCAACCTAACGAAGGTAATTAACTCTAAAAAGGAATATTTTTTAAAAACCAAATATCCAATAAAAACCATTCACATCATAGAATGCATTAAATTAAAGTTGACCAAAAAAATAAAAACAATAACTCACCTAAGATCCAGCAAATAAATTAAGAATCAGCTCATAGTTTTGAAATCAGATACACAAACACAAGACATTAATGATCCAAAACCCTCAAGAAATTAAATATAAAAGATCAACTATCCCCAAAACACAAAGTTGTTAACAAACACAAGAATAACAAAAAAACAAAGAATGGCAAACCACCACCATACCACAATCCTTCAAAGTTTTCCATTTTTCGTCCAAATCAGAATAATCATGTTGATAGCTAAACACTCGGTGGAATCATTCCAAAACGTCCTCACCGCATTCTCGAGTTTAGGCCTAGCTGCAAAGACCCCAGACGTCCCAAAGAAACTAAACTTTCATGAGCTGACCGTCAAATCATTAACAAAGATACATATGTATCAAAACCTACTGAGCCTCTCTCTTTCTGCAGGCAACTTGGAGGCCCTTTACTTACGTGGCATGGAAGAATATTTTAAAAATGAAAACATTTTTCAGGGTTTGGAATATCTCCATCTCGCAGCTCAGGGTTTTTATGACAATGCTATTTACCTTTACGGTATAATAATGTTATCTAGGGGGCAATCCAGCAATCGGCATCCCAATGTTAGATTCACTAAATTGGAGAGCCAACAAAGCAAGATCAGGTGGTTGTTGGCAAAACATCAAGACTTCTATTCATGGAGTAAAAGTCAAAAGATTTGACATTTACATCACAACTTACAAGGCCACGAGAGCTACAATAGCATGTCATAGAAATAATATGAGACGTTATGAAGCATGTGACTATTTTAAGCAAATGAAGAAATTTATTTTCATTATGTGAACCAAAAATGTAATTGCTGCATGCCATATGTAAGATTAAACTATTAAAATTATAATAAAGGTATTTCTAATACGCCAGCCTCTTCTCCAACTATTCTTCTGTCTCTGGAATTATTATTTTCTATAAGTTATAACTGCAAACAAGGGAAATAAAACTATGAACTACTGAAACCATAATGCAAAAACTAACTACTACCGCTAAACACTTAATACAATTATAGTTCTATCCGAACAAATAAAACAGAAGTTGAGCTAACGGCTAACCTACGTCGACGAAATTTAGTCGTCCAAAAACAGACGGCCGGTCAATGATCTCCTCCACCGTCTACGCCTCATAAATAACGTGTATTCTTAAAGAAAAAAGCCAACAAATATAATAATATTTTAAAAACCTTTAACACAGTAACTATGATTGCTAAAATATTGATATAATCACGGAAAATAACAATATTAACACAAATAGCGACAATTAGTACCACATCCATTAAGTTCAAAGAAAAGTAAAACCAGGAAAATTTCACAAACGGCCGCTTCCGAAAAACAAAAAAATAAATTATTAAACATATAAGAAAATACACAAAAAATCAAACATCCTATCTCCTGATCACTTCATCTTCAAATATTTTATCCTCACACCACTATAAATCCAAAAAAATAAAATAAATTACCTTCTACCTAATTATATAAACAATACATTTCTACTGGTCAAAAAACAAGAGCTGTGATGTTATTTAATAATTTTTTTTTAAAAAAAAACTCTACAAATTTTTTAAATTATATGTAACGCTCATTCATAAATGTATACAATTAAACAAAAATGTTAAATGGCGGATTGCGACCACCACTGACTCGATGTGAAAAAACGTAAAACAAAGAGGGACTCAAACAAACCGACCACATCCTCTTCTCCTCCGAATACAGCTAACAAATAAATCACATCCATTGTTAGAACCCTAGGAAAAAAAAAATAATGGCAACAAAATCAAAGCATCCGCCCACACTCACCTCCGTGCCGGAAGACCTGAGTCTTCTGATTGTGTCAAAAGTTGGAAACACATCGCCCCAAGAATACTTCAACACAATCGATCTCCTGCAAAATCCTTAGCTTCAGCTACAAGAACTACGACGTAGCAAACTCTCTCAATCTATCAACGATTGTAAAGAATCCGACCCTCGCTAACCGACACCCAGCTTTGCTAGAAACCTGCGTCCAATCCAACAACAAGGACGCTCATTTCATTAAAGGATTTTTACTTCTTTGAATCCCAAAACAGAACTCTGGGCCTACATCACCTCAAAATAGCTGCAGACGATAACCACATCCAGGGAACATACGTCTACGGTGTTCTGCTCCTAGCCATGGGCCAGACTGCGACAAGCATCACCATCATCAACCAACTAACCGATGATAAAGGTGTTTCTGTGGTGGAAGATTGCATGGCAGCCTTCCAGCAGTCAGTTCAAACACCACTCCTTCACATGAAAGACGTATGCGTTACCTCAATCCTGAATATGTGGCAGGATCCTAACTGTCATCTTGAAACAGGAGGATAAACCATGGTATGTTCAAAGTGTTTCCACTTCGCTTTGCTAATCCACTTCTACAAGATGGTTATGGGATTGAACGACTTCCTGGAATGAAGCAACTTCTATATTACTTTAAGTTTTTGAACTATCACAGTTGAGTATAATCCAAGTTTACAAGTCCAACTTCATCATCTCACATGAGTATCTTATTATTTGCATTTTGTTATCTATGTTTTTTTTTAAAAAATTCCACATTAAACTATATATGAATGACTAGCAGTTAAAATATCACAGGCCAGCAACGAGAATTCGTAGTCCACAATACATCTACGACAACTTCATTCTAACACATTAAAAAAAATGGTGTTCATTTGACCTTTTCTTTTTAAGCAGTTCCATTTTAATACAATGCAAAATATATTTTACAAATTAAAAAAACAAAATAATTATTCTTTTCCTTTTTGCGATCAAACATCAACACCCGGTGCGTAGCGCCGGCCACCCCATAGTATATATATAAAAAAAGGTTTTCCCTCTTTTGAAGCTGCCACCTCATCAAATAGAAGCCTTCTATTCCGACACCTCACCCTTTCTTCAATACGCAATGTGTCATTAATTCACATAAACTGGTGACTTTGGGCTTATTTTGTTATTACATACATTTCAAAATGTTATTGGGTTAGGAAATCAGTTTTGATGTGAAGACAGCCCAATAGCCAATGAAGTGTTCCCTAATCATGTTGACGCAGAGAAATCAAACTTTAGGGTTCTGAGGACTTCTGATCTTCTTTATGCTATGACGACTTCTGATCTTCATCATTATCTCTGAAACGTCTGAGTCATGTCTTCTTCGTCTTTAATCTAATTTATTCAATCAACCACGATGAGGTCTTGAATGCGTCGTTTACATCAGTGAGTTGGTGTATTTTTGAGTATAAATAGGTCAGTATTCCTCCTCTCAAAATCATCTTCTCTCTATATTTCTTTTAGTATATCAATTCTCCGTGATATTGCTAACTCGAGAGTTCCAAGTCCGGCAGGTGTCCCTCTCTAACACAAAGATTCTAACAATGACTAATCCACAGCTTCTTTTCACTGAGTTGAAGGTAGGGCGATCTGTTGTCACAAGGGTTTTGCATTTTTTGAGAGGTGCATGATTTCAAGTGGTAGATGAGCCGATGGGTGTCGATATGGTTTCGTTTGAAGAGAAGGTATTTCGTAATACATTGACGTTTATGAGCTCTATGACTTCGATGTAACCGTCAGCTTATATATTTCACAGAGAGAGAGAGAGAGAGAGATTGAATTTGGTTAATTTGGTTTGTTAAATGCAGGAACAGAATACAGCACCTGATTTTATTTTTACTGTATGAAGAGATGCTGCTCTTTGTTCAAACTATGCCGTTGGTCCTGTCGCAAAAATAAATAATCTTCTCAAAGCTTGTCGCTGGATTACATATGAAAGCAAGATTCTCTCTCGAGACCTTTCTCGGGTTTGCTATCTTCCCACAGTTATATCCTTAATCAAGTTCATGCAAGCAGGTACTGATGAACAAAGAACATAACTTTTTCTGTGTGGATGTATAAAGAACATTTGTCCCTTTCTTTTTTTGTGCAGGTTGATTGCTACTTTGACGGGAGATCTCATGGATAGCTTTATTCCGTGAGTATATGTAAATCTTCTTTTATTCTTCTCAGCTGCACAAAGTTCTTTTATAGCTTTAGAAAGTGCTTAGGATAATAATTCTTAATCACTGTGATGCTACTGACACTTATATTTTGTTAGAGTATTCCAAATACTGTACCGTAGCATACTTTGAAATGTGAAAACATAGTAATGTAATGATACAACTTAGCGGAACTGTGGAAGTTAATGCTTTCAAAAATCCATTGGAACATTTTGAGATGACTACATATTACTCATGGGAACACTGGACAATATAGTTTTTTGACATCTGTTAACTGGTGCAAATAGCTAAGAAGTGTTATAGAAAATTGTGTTTCCCTTCCTTCTCTTGCATTTGTATACATTGATCATATGGCTAGAACAAGTCAGTAACTTAGAATTATAGGACTCCTGACTCAAATGTAAACAAGAGAGTACTAGGTTTGAAACCAACTTCTCTGCTATTGTATTGATGAAAGAATGACTGTATTAAAAATTACTAATCGGATTGAATCATTCTCTATTGTTTAGAGTTCATTCTCATTTTGGTAAACAAGAAAAGAAGGCTTTTTATTATATTGTATCACCAGAATCAATCAATACGTTTGGATCGTAAAGATCGTACACACATAAAGTATCTTTTTCCACACGGAAAAACTAACTCGCTTGGCATCAACAATATTCAGGACAGAGATCGATATACTGTCCCAGTACATACACATGCATCTGGTTCATTTATTCGGGTACTGCAATGAGAACATCAAGATGATCATGGTGTAGGAGAATAAGGAAAATGGAACGCTTAATAACCATATTTATGACTTGGATAACCCAAGGTGAGCTGCAGACACAAGCTGTAGATATGCATTGTTACAGCTAGAGGAACTATCTCCATACAGGTTTTGCAAGAGCATGCCGCAGTGTGATGTCTGCAAACGTTCTCTTAGATGAGAATTTCATGGCCGAAGTTGCAGAAATTGGATTGTAAAAGACTGGTCCGTATCTTGACCAGATACATGTGAGTACAACGGTGAAAGGAAGTTTTGGTTATCTTGATCCAGAGTACTTGACCAGCCAACAACTGACTGGGAAATCTGATGGTTACTCTCTTTCTTTGTGCAGCAAAGTTGGAGAAGAAAGCAAAGATGGAAGAGATCATTGACCATTTTCTTGATGGGAAAGTAAAGCTTGAAGAGATTAGGTTGTACTGTGAGGTAACTGAGGAGTGTTTAGTCCAAAACAGGATTTGAGAGGCCAACAACGGGAAGTTATTATGGAAACTAGAGTTTATACTTCAGGTCGAATGGAAAGACGATAAAACATCAATAGTCCATGCTTATCCAAATTCCAAAGGCTAGCATCGTGGGATCAACGGTATATTTTAGTGTGATGGAATTAATGGGATATATGGCAAGGTGAAGTTTTTGCACAAATAGTGGAAAGAGAAGAGACTAGGAAAAAATAAAATAAAAAAGAGTATATATATTACCATGGTGTTGTCTGTACAGAGGAAGGAGAGACCACATTGACTTTTTTTTTTTAATATTCGTTGCTACAGATTATTGTTTTTTTAGAAATGCTATAGATTATTGTTATAATTTCCATATTTATTTGCATATAAGCTCTAGTGTTAAAAAAAAAGCTCTAAACTTCACTATATTGAAGTAACCTAAGTGTTCCAGATGAT